AGTTTTAAAAAGTTTTAAATTTTTCAGAAAATCTCATTCCTTATATAGGATCGAACCTTGTATATAAGATAAGTTTACATGAAAATTTATGCAAGAGTATTATATTCTCAGATCAAACCTGGCTTAGTGGTTCAAAGTTATCGTAAATTGACGCAGATGGTCTAGAAAATTAAGGTGTTACATTTTATGGCTGCAACTTTAATACAAGTGATATTAATAAATTAGCAAACAAGGGTTTTCAAAAGCGAGCTGGGGAGCTGGAAATTTAGGAATTAATAAATTCAGGGCTCTAAGCAAGAGAGAAGCGAGGCGTTCGACTGCATATTTTGTGTCCGATGCTATTTAGGAATTATTGGGTTTGCAATAAGGCTATTTCTTATTGGAGACTTTGCTACAGCATGATGATTGTTGTATTTGTACTTCGGTTTAGTTAAGTCAATTTTATCATTCCACTCACTTGTCCGACCAACTCGCATTGGATTGTGTTCGGATGTTGTTTTTATTTAATATCGCTTTCAGTCCTTATAATAACTAGTTGACTAATTTAAGTAGATTAAAAAAAATAAGTTAAGTTAGTTATTTGTAATAAATTAGTTTTATTTGTCCTAAAATATCCTTACTAATTAAAAATATTGGCTAGAATTACTATTAGTAGAAAGACTGCTTTGAAAAAAAAAACATAAATATAACAAATAAAATAGATTGGGATCTTATATTTAGGATTAAGATAAAAGTCAAATGAGATCTTATATTAAAGATCGGAGGTACAATTAAATGCACGTGATGCTGAATTCAGACCCAAGACCCCGTCCCGTTGTGTTTGGGAGTTTTAATTCATCTTTGGAAAAAATAGATCATAGATTGAAATAACTGAATTGCACAGACTCAAGGTACTAAAAATTGAATCGATCAATTGTTAAGGAGATTTTAAAACCGTCCCTATCCATTTTATGAATTCATGTCCTATTTAATTAATCTCTATTTCCAAAACAACGGATATTTTTTGTTTGAAAAAAATGTTCATGCAAGCCTTCGTTTTAAGATAAAAAAAACTTTTTAAAAGAGTCCTCGTAAAAGTGATAAATTACTACTGACACTTAAAATTACGTACAGGTATATGTAGCTTAGATTGTGTAATAATATCCTTTTATCCATATTACAGTTGTAAAATTTTCCCGTCATTGTTTTCACTTTCTCAAGTGGAATGAACAAATGAGCACGAACGGACAATACTATTCAAATGAAGCTTCTCTATTGTTTCTTAACAAAGAAGCAACACATTGTAGAAACTCAAGGTAAACATCCAACAAGATCATTGAGTAGAAGTTGGTGAAACATTAATTTTTGCACAGTAACAAGAAACATACAATGACCGTGATTAATTTTTGCGCGAGAACTCCACGTACGTGACACGCTTAGTGAAACAATACCACTAGAAGTTGCAGCAAAACCAGAAGAGTTTGTGTTGCCTCTGAAGCATTGGAGTTGGATAGAACGGAAAATGACACGTACGATAGCATGGGATAACTTGAAGAAGGCTTGGAAATGGAGTTTCAAAGTTCAGCCATGAATTGCTTGCCTTATTGAAGGCCTATGGTTATGATCAGGATGAGCAGAACACAACCGAATGATCATCAGGGCATTGAACTTGATCCTGCTCAAAATCTCCTCGTAGCCTTGGATCAACTGCTAGAATTCTCCCAATACATGGAGATCCCATACCTATTTCACTAAGTTCTTTACGTCCTCTGGAGCCTCAGAGTTGATAGGTTTTCTTCCACATGCATACTATCTACAAAGCAATAACTCCAAAAATGTATACATCAGATTCTTTACTAGTCTTTTCAGTAGTGACATACTCAGTAGCCATAGAACCTTGAGTTCCCGCCACAGTTGTAGTTTGTGCTCCTTTTCCATGATCTACAAGTCTTGCTAATCTGAAATATCCAAGTTTTGTAGTGAAATCATAGTTTATCATGATGATTTGATGTCTCTATGAATTACACATTTGTTACATTCTTCATGTAGTACAATAATGCAGAGGCCAAATCTTAAGCAATTTCAAATCTATTCAGGACAATTATGCGGTCCAAATCAATTTAGCCAGTTCTTAATTAAGAAATTTACATGATTATTTTGAAGGCACACATCTACAAGTGAAATTTAAAATTTACAACTCTATATGTTCTGAAAACCTTAGCGCATTATATTGACGAAAGGGAGGAGCAAGATCAGATCAGCCCCTATTTTCTCCTTTGTCATATAGGAAGTTTACCATATGGTGAGTTTAGATCTTACACACGTTTCCTTTCAAATGGTATATATTAGAAGACGGTTGAGAAGTCATCAATTAGTATGCGCCTTAAGGCATCTTATAGAAGAAATTGATGTTCCTTATTATGAGTCACTTTATAGGGTATGGTATCAATTAAATTTTTCTAATATCACCCCTATTCAAAGTCACTAATAACGAGAGAATGTGATAAAAATTGGAAAATTTTCATTTAAATATGGGTAAAATAAAAAATTTTATTCCATTTTAAAACAAAATTAATGATATAATCACTTCTCGTTGGTCTCTGACGAGATGGCTAGATGCGTAATCTTAAAGATTGGAGGAGTATCTTTGGTTAACCTTCTAGCTGCTTCGGTAGTTGATGGATAGTCTATTGTCTTTATGTGTCAATTTTGACATAGGAATATGTATATTATTTTTCCTGTTGTGACAGAAAATTATATAAGGATCATCCTTTCATAATTTTGCAAGCAATTAAAACAGATTAAAAATTGACTTCCCTAAAGATTATTCTTTGGTTTTTATTGGCCTCCGTGAGAGAATAGAAATGATTAAATATGATTACTTCCTTAATGGGGCCATTTTTAGATGACTATTTTCAAGTACCATCAATAATTAAAATTTCCAACTATTCTAAAAACATATTACTGGTCCAGTCACAAGACCTATTTTATAGTATAAATTACATCACAAAGTAAGTCTTACATTTAGAAAACATATTACTTGTTTGGTCATAAAACCTATTTTATAATATAAATTACATTATAAAGTAAGTCTTGTATTTAGAACTCAAAAAGTAACACAGATCAAAAGGATGACCAACCATTTGACCGACTCGTATGGTTGACTTATTGACTTTCCAGCTGGAAAAGGAAAACTGCCCATATTAGCTTCTATATAGACGGTTCATAAACTAGTACTACCTAGGAAAAAAAGTCACGTAATTAATAGATGGGGTGTGGATAGAAATGTAAATTTCAAATGCTCTGGATGCACACAAAAAAATGAGGCAATTAAAGATAATTATCATAGTAAATTAAGAAGTGACGTCTACACTTTGCCGACTTCAATATTGTTATTATTTACCACCTCTGGTACTTAGAGCTAGTTGATTAATTTAGAAAAATTAAGAAAGTTAATTATCTAAATAATTATTGTCTTTTCTAAAATACTTTTACTAATAATATGAATTAAATTTATCCTTTTATGAAAATCTTTAATATGTACTATCACTGTAAGAACTATTTTGGGAAAATATAGATAAATATAGAAGCTAAAATAGCTTGGAGTCTTATATTTATGACTGAATTGAACGTCAAACTAATTATTATATTAAAGACTAAAGGTAGTATTATAGTTGGTAAAAAGAGATAGTTAAAAGATTTTATATTCTCTCTGTGTGCAATTCATGCTTCCAAAGCACTTTGGATGCTTCCATGCACTTGTCTCAGCTTCAAGTAATTAAGTAGACTCCTTTCCTTTCATGCGAAGAAATAAGAGTCCACATAGAGGATAAGGGAAAATTCATTGTCCATCCTTCAGTAAATGAATCAATATCAATATATAAAATAAAATCTACAAAAAATTATAAGTCATAATTAGTATGATTTATTTCTTAAATTTATCACACATGAGAAAGCCTATAATGTTCAGTTTTTTTCTTGAAAAAGAAAAAGGCATGGAGCATTGGAAAAGCTATGAAAACTTGAAAAAAGAATTGCGTGCGGTTCAGGAAGGTCTCAACTTTCAAGAAAGAAACCATGCACTCCCTCCTATCTTTATAAGACCCATTTTATAGTGTAATTTACACTAAAAAATGAGTCTTATATTTAGGATCGAAGAAGTATTATTATTTCCGTGAACCATATATTATTATTTCAGGCCAAAGAATATAATTATTAGCATCACTCCTTAATATAAAACACAGTTAATTAATTTGGAAAAATTAAAGAAGCTAAATAAATTGTTTAACTATAATATATACTACATGATTTCTCTAAAATACTTATATATATCATTAGATTATGTATCAATTTATAAATTAGGCAAATTAGTTTGCAGAAAAATGATAAATATAAATACTTTAAAATAATTTATTTGGCTTTCTTAGTCTTCCCAAATTTGTCAATTGGTGGGTCTTCTATTAATGACTAAAGGTAGTATTATTATGTCATATATTATTATTATTATGAACACTTGAAAAAATAGCCATATATTATTATTTTCTGCGAAAAACAACAAAAGAAATGAAACCACCACAGCCGTGATTTTCTTTTCCTCTTTTTTGCTTTTGCCAATTCTTCCTTTTCTTGTTACATCAGAGGGTTAGAACACTGAACATATATTCGTGTCATCCCACCCTATTGTTTCTATTTCTATTTGTGCTAGTCTTAAGTGACTAATAATAACTATCACGTTATTATACCTCTAGCACACATGCTACATAGAAGCTCATCCATGAAATTAAACCACTAAGAACTGTTATATACATGGGATTTATAATTTATAATTATATTCTCCATCTGGTCCTCAGCTTCAGCTACGGCGCGCCATATTAGAGAGACTTACATATTTGAGAGTTTGCCTTCATACCAGTTCATGACATAAGAAATGAGGGAGTTCATTTCGGCGGTTGAGAGGCTGATTTTTCCGTCGCCGTCGGTGTCAGCGTTTCGCATGCACCGCCAAGCTCTGTACAGTGCCAAGTCCGAACCGATCTTCTGTAATGCATTCTTAAGCTCCTTCATGTTCAGACTTCCGTCCTTGTTCACGTCTGCTTCCTTCAATATCTCCATCACTTGTTCTCTAGTGAGCACTTTGGGTGACACTGATTTTGGTAATCTAATTGTCATTTTACCTGATTCTGATTTCCCTCTCTGCTGCTTCAATTTTATGTGACTTCTCTTTTTCTTTGTTGCTTTTGCTTGGCTTGTATGAGGGAGAGTAATATACATACACACACACACACACACACACATATATAGAGCCTTTGGACTCGGGTCTTGGCGTCTTTAATTTGCATGCATATGGGTCATGGATCGTACCGAACCCGTTTCAAGTTGGATAAGCTTCATGACTGGATACAGATCGATATTCTTCTTCTTACATATGAGTCGCTGATGTCAATTTCTTGCCTAATCAATTTGGAATCTTAGCTCAGTTATTTATGGAATCCTACCACAGGGTATATTATTTATTTTGTTCGTCAGGGACCCACCAAATAAAGGAATTCTCGTTCGGTCTATCACTGCGGAGTGCTGCCGGACCTGCCTTTCCGGAAAGCACTTGCATACAGATTCTAGGCACTTTTATTCGTTTTGTTTTTTATTCTGGCCAAAAAGGAATATTTGTTGGGATATATAACAAATTAGACATTGTGGGACAGAATTTATAGCAGTTCTTTTTTTAGGTGTAATTTAGGGTATCCTTAAGTTATTTTAGATTTGAGACTAAACATTGTCAAGGTTGGGAGCGTTCAAAATTAAATCCCTCCTAACAAGTATGCTTCCCAAGATTCAAACTTATTTGTTTTCCTCCTAAAGGAGGTAAGGCTATTTACCACTTCAATCAACAACTTATTAGTGAATTTAAAACAATTCCTTTGCAGTGCATTGCGGTAAATTAATGTTGAACCATATTATTTATTCCATATGTAAATATTAAGAAAAAAATTAATAGATGTTACATGTTAAAATAGATATGATTGACGGTATTAACAATTTTTTTTTTTAAGAAATTGGATTATCATTGTTTATCTTCAACAATTGAAAATTGAGAAAATGTATAGCGACCTTTTTCCCAAATATTATGTCTTTATGTTTATGTCAAATTTCATATATAATAATATAAGGTCAAAATAATAGGGCATATTCATACTTAGCTGCTCAGTCTTTTTTGCAATAACAAGACCAAATTTTTAAGATCCACCGCTAATGCGGCTGTGTAAGGTTAACAAGCATATTTCTTTCTTGCTAACAAAGCCCTCCATTTGTGGCTAGTTTTTTGCTAGAGCTAGTTTTCTAAAGGTTCATTCAAATAAACAAAATAACTATTTCGTGGCCGGCCACCAATCAATTATTAGAAGCATTAATTATGGAGTCAAATCACCACTTGCGGCTGTTAACTTGTTTAAGCACTTAACAAACTAAAATTCTAAGAAACTAGCCTTCTCAAAGACACGACTTAGGGTTGAGCCATTGTTTGCATAGCTTAATTCTAGTATTTTTGAGAGCTTCGGGACAAGGCTTTATTTATCAATGGCTTTTGGTCATAACCAGATCAGCCTAAGGTTGGGTGCTCTAATTCTGCCCTAGTTTGGCTACAGCCAACATGCGTGATGGCCTTGGCCAATTTCTTCTCGCCCTCTTTGTGTTTTCATGGAATTCATGTTTCCAAAGCTCTTTGGAAAACTCCATGCAATCTTGTCTCAGCTTCAAATCACCTAGCAAAAGAGGAAAAATCTAAGAGATTCCAATTTAAATAAACAGTTAAGTCAGGAATTTCAATGATTAAGCTTAAATCCTATTATGCATAATTTTCTATGATAAGTATCCAAAATACATACAAGTAAACTGTAGAGTGGATATAACTCAAGAAAAATATACTACACGCCTCCAATCCTTAATATAAGAATTAGGAATTAAATTTGGTTTAACATATAAAATCCCAATTTACTTTGTCTTTCAAATTTATAATTCATTCTCTAAAATATCCCTGTGGGAAAGCACCAAACTACAATATCATTTTAGACCTTTTTTTCATTTTGGCCACTTTGAAAGCCAATTAAGTTGCTATCATACAGTTCCAATACCATTTTTTGTTTAATGAGTAAATATACCTAATCAATTCCTATATTTATCCATCTTGACAATAATTTTTCCTCAAACCATGAGTTGAAACATTTTGAAAATAGACAATTAAGTCAATTAAATTCCCTTCTTGCCAAGAAATAAGAAAATCTACAGATCAGGATTATATTCAAGGGAAAATCCACTTTCTATCATTCAGTAGCAAATGAATCGATATCGATATATATGATATGAAATCTACAAACAAAATTATAAATCATAATTAGTATGATTTATATTCTTAATTAAATTTACCACACATGAGAAGGCGTATATAATGTTTATCGGGAAAGTTGTGAAAACTTAAAAGGGAATTACCGATGAGGAAGTTGTCTTAATTAAGAAAGGAAACCTACCACAAAACGATAACTCTTCTTTTCCTTGTTACATCACAGTTCAAAGGGTTTCAACATTGGACATCTCTATTCACGTCATCCCGCCTTATTGTTACTATTTGAGCTAATCTTAAGTGACTAATATAATAACCCAACACACATATTCCTACACAGCGCTCATCATCATCATACATATGAAACCACTAAGAATTATTTAAGAAAAAAGGCGATATCACCAAGGACTTGCATAATTCGGAATTTAGCTTCGTACTTCATGCTGAGAAAAGTAGTGAGGAATTCGATTTCGGTTGAGAAGCTGATTTTGCCGTCGCTGTCGGTGTCGGATTTTTGTGTGTAATGCCAGGCTAAGTACAGTGCCACGTTTGGAACGATCTTATCTAATGCTTTCATAAACTCCTTCTTGTTCAGACTCCCATCTTTGTTAATAATGTCTTCTTCTTCCTTCAATTTCTTCTCCGCTCGCTCTTTGATGAGGATTTTGGTTGATATTGAAGACTTTGGTTTTGATGATGACCCGAGAGCCATCATCGTCTTGTCACAGAAGGGCATCACCATTTCATTTAGATACATTTTACCTTATTTTGATTTTTGATCCCTCTCTGCTTTTCTGTAAGTTTTCTTTCTCTTTTTTCTTTCTTTCTTGCTCAGCTTGTATGTGGGAGATCAGTGATATATAGCCTCTCTGGTCTTTGCATGGTTAATGGATCGTAGCGAACCCGTTTCAAGTTGGATAAGCTTAATGAATGGATACAGACCGATATTCTTCTTCTAACGCACATATCAGTTGCCGGCATCAGATTCTCCACCGAGAAAGAATGGACAACCCTTAGGTGCGTACTACGATATGAACTCGTCAAAGTGGTAAGCCTTTTGTTTTGCTTTGAACACTTCGTGATAACAGAGACAGGTGCTATGGATCATGTGAAGAATGATGCTTTTAATTCTAAGATAAAACTAACAGATATGATTACTCTTGATACTGTTTTACTTGTCCCTTCGTTGGATTATAATTTTTCATCAGTTAGTGAGATTACAATAACCTTGGAGCCTTCTTCTTCTTTTTGTTTTTTTTTTTTTTTCCCGCCCAGACATCTAGAGTCAGAGGATTATAGTGGTTATGGTGTTAGGCGAGGAAAACTGTATTATTTTGAAGCTGCAATTTCAGCGCATGGATAGTATTAAAGCTGAAGACGAGGCATGGTGGTGTCACAAGTGTTTAGGACATTTATCTTTTAGTCATTTGAAAAAGTAGACTTGCTTACGAATTTTGATGTTTTGAATTTCTCATTATGGTATTTGCGAAGAAAAGCTCCAAACTTTTTATGGTGATAAATATCCGAGGACTTGCTAAAGTTGCAACACTCTCTCACATGAACGATATTTCTAAACTTTTATTCTGACACTACTGTATTCCGAGTGGACCAAAGCTACTAACGAAAACATCGACAAAGAAATTGTCCAGTAGAGTCCAGTTAATAAGAAATTGACTCATAACCTCCAAAATCATCAGTTGAAGGCATGCCCTGGTCCAATAAGCTAGCCTCAATTTACGTTTCACACATGGAACCACTTGCAAGTGTTTATGAAAAAGATGACATCATTACATATGAAAGGGCTGTGTTTGTACTATATAGATGTAGGCTACATAATTAAAACCTTATAATCTAATAGCATGAATACTCTCCTACAAGTAGGAGCTTGCAGATTCCAACCCTTTATATAACTTCAGGCCATTAGCGTCTACTCCTTTAATTCAAAGAAGAAAATATAGCATATATATCGCTACAGTGCTGCCGTATGAAAGAGTCGTATTAGCGTTTATTTTTTTGCATCGTACCATTTCATGACAAAAGAAACAAGCTGCTCCTCCTCGGAGGAGCTGATTTTTCCGTCATGGTTGTCGTCGGTTTTTTGCATGCAAAGCCAAGGTCTGGACCATGGCCAGCGTGAACCCATTTCCTCAAATGCTTTCTCGAGCTTCTCCCTGCTCAGACCTTGCTCCTTGTTAGTGTCTCTCCACAATCTCGCCCTCACTCGATCTTCATCAAACCCAGGCCTTCCCACGAACACTGCTTTCGTTCCCAATTTGTGATTGTTTGCTTTATCCATGCTTCTGAATTTTCTTAATTTGCCTCTCTTTTGGCTTGTACGAGTAAGCCCTACACACACACACACACACACACACACAGATGAGCACCTTATCTCATTCCCATGATTTCAGATTATTGCCGAATAAATTTGGGAATCTTATTACTTTAGCTCAATTACTCATGGAATCTTTTTAGTTTAGGTGTAACATCCTAAATTTTAAGCCCAGAAATATAAAAAATAGCTTGAAATGGATAGCTTGTTTGTTATTACACAAGATCACAAACAAATATGCTATCTATTTCAGGCTATTTCTTGTATTTTTAGGTCTAAAATTTGGGATTTTATATTATGTTAGGTGCACATCGCAATTATGTACCATTCAGATTTAATTTTTTTGCACTTTTGCTTTTAATTTTTTTCTTTTAATGGATACAAGATCTAGACTGAAAATAATACTTTAACCGTTAGTTTTTTAAACAGTGATTTTTTCATTTAAAAATTGTCATTTGAAATTTTTAAATTTAACTGTTCAGATCTGATATGTGGGTTTTCTTTTGTCCCCCCCCCCCCCCCGGGGCTTTTGCTTAGCTTGAATGAGGGAGATCAGTGATGTATAGACTCTGGACTCGGGTCTTTGCATGGGTCATGGTCGTACCGTACCCATTTCAAGTTGGATAAGCTTCATGAGTGGATACAAATCGATGTTCTTCTTCTAACGTGCATATGATCGAGTTGCCGGTATCAGATTCTCCACTAAAAGGAATGGCCTATAATTTGTTCTCAGTTAGCGAGATTACGATAAACTTTTAGCCTTCCTATTTATGTTCTCCAGACATCTAGAGTCAGAGGATGATATTGGTTATGATACTAGGCGACGAAAACTTTATTATTCCGAAGCTGCATGGATAGTAATAAAGCGGAAGATTAGGCTTGGTTGTCTGCGACTTTTAATGTTTTGCATTTCTCATTATTGTGGTACTTGCGAATAAAAGCTATGAAGTGTTAATGGTAATAAATTCGGAAACGATATTTCTAGAATTTTATTCTAACAGTATTCTGATGAATGGACCAAAGCTATTAACGAACACATCTACGAGGAGATTATTGTCTAGTTATCTAGTACGTATGATCTTGACTCAAATAATCTGGCCGGCAAGGATTCCAATAACACAATTCAGTGTATCATGAGTGGAACAAAAAGAAGAGCTCTCAGCCTTGCAAAAGAATATAATCATGCATAGGCGGGATCTTGTGTGGAGTTACCAAAGGAGAAGAAGCTTGTACTACCTCTCATCCTAAATATAAAGCTAGCTAGAAATTCAATTAGGTTCTAAAAAGTATTTATAAATTATTTATTAATAATATTTTTATATTTAGAGCGAGATTACAATTATGTCTTTGTAAGATATTAGTCACATCAGATTAAATGAAAATTTAAAAATGCTACGCAATAAATACTTTTGTAATCAAAGAGAGAAAAACTGCAAGAAACAACTTAGCTCAAAAACGTAATATGGTATATGGATGGAAATTCAGTTTTCAATACTTTGTTAAAAAAAGAAAGAAAGAAAATGCGGAAATATGAGCATAAAAGTAAAAAAGTGATCTGACTCTAATAATATCGTTATGTTTTCTTTTTTTGGTAGAAATCAGGTGGTATCTCTCAGTCAATAGTTAGAGACTAATCCTCCTGAGATGTAATCACCAAAGTGGATTTTGCCTCTCCTAACAAATATGAGGATGAAAGTAAAAAAAATTGATATAAAGTTTTCCAACTCTAATAATATTTGTTATGTTTTCTTTTTTTAATTTGGTAGAAATCAGGCGGTATACCCTAGGCCATAGCTAGAAACTAGTCTTCTCGAGGCATAGAGATCACCCAAAGTGGGTTTTGCTTATGCCAACAAAGCTTTTTCCATGCATATGACCTTATTCAAACTAGGACATCATGGTTAAGAAACCCAACTATCTACCAATTGTGTGGGGCTTTGTTCATCGTTATATTTTCCTTATACAAAGAGATATATGGTCAAAAATATTTTATTCCCTTCTAAATAACGTAACTAAATGGAACAAGTTCATCCATTAGAGTAGCCGAATCAGGACAAATGAGAAATGTAACCCTCAATTAAAACATCAATTCATCTCTCTCTCTCTCTCTCTCTCTCTCTCTCTCTCTCTCTCTCTCTCTCTGTGTGTGTGTGTGTGTGTGTGAGTAGAGCTCAAAATTTGACCTCCAAACATTAATTTTTTTCCTTTAGCAAAACAAAATCAATCAATTTCAAATTTAAAGAAACAATCATTTCAAATTAATCGAACTTATTACTCATTACAGTTTCTTCTTTATGTTCACTTATTAATGTTTGAATCTTTTGGGCATCTAAATAGAGTGTAAATTTTTTGTTTTACATAAACAATGAGAGAGAAATGTAAAACAAATTCCGTACCGAAAAAACTAAAGATCCTTTCTGGATAACCGAATTTGGCAAATGATATGTATTAACGATTTCAATTCTATGTAAACAGGTCTGATCATTGGATTCGAACCATTTCTTAATTTGATTGTTTGTTTTATGTCTAAAGTAAACATTCCTTTTCTTTCTTGTTGGGAAAAAAAAAACTCAAAGGAGGCTTTGTTTAAGTATTCTTTTGATATCGAGAAAGCTTCATTCTCAATCAATTAACTTCCTTAGGATGAAAGCCATCACTAAATTTAATTATATTCAATTTGATTCCAAGCTTTGTGGCATAGATTTTGTCTGTCATGGGATTGGTCACATAATGAACCATTATCTTATTAAATCATTGTGATCTTGTAGCGATATGATTAATTAATTCCACATTCCTCAATTAATTTATCGAGTTTTAAAGATTCCTAATCATCAATTATAAGCATATAAGCATGCTTCAAATATGCTTCGTAATCATATTCCCAGAAAAAAAATATATATATCCTTCGTAATGTTGACGACCTCGCAGAATAATGAAAAGTGGAACAAGGATCATGGGGAAAAAATCGGCTTCCTTGTATGGCTTTTCTTTTAGTTAAATTATACAAAATTTCCCTAAACTTTGAAACCTACAATAAACATTTGTGGATCTTTGCATTTGTGCTCATATCTCTCATATATTAGTTTTGTTCCTTATTTATCTGCAAGTGACTTAAAATTTAATGTGTTTATCCGCATATAATAGCTTAAAGTTTAGAAGATATATGCACCAAAAATAAAGTTTAAAGGCATATCAAATGGATAGTTTGAGGTTATCAGCGTAGGTTTAAAAGTTTAGGAGAGTTTATTATTAAACTTTAAATGTTAAGAACATTATTTGTATATAGTTCCAAATTTATAAATATGCTATATAATTTAGTCTTTTTTCAATTAATAATACTGAAGTCTATGTGGGTCGTGTTTTAGGTGTTACAAGAATCAGGCAGATGTGGTTAGTGAAAGAATGCTTACGGAGTTTCTTATATATTTACTTGCCGATAAGATTCTTATATTGATAGGATTTAAGTCCATATCTTTCATTATGCAAAATGAATCATATTCTTTATCAACTATACTAATATTCAACCGTGATACACATGCAATGAATAAAACATTACAAAATGTGGCAATATAAAATATTCTCTTCTAACTAACTTAATGGAACCAGAATTATTGAAAGGTTTGTTGTGCGGATCGTGGAGTGGGACAAAGCGACAAAAGTAGTGTTGTCGATTAAAAAATAAATTCATGCTTTAAATATTCTTCATTATCTTGTAGATAAGAAATGGTGGACACATGTAACATGCAAAGGCATATAGAAAAAAAGAGAAACTTACTTTTTTGGTCCTTATACTTTCAACTTGATTGTAACCCAATCCCTAAACTTTAAACAACTCAATCGTAATATTTTTAACTAGTTGTAATTAACTCATAACTTGGTTCCTAAATTTTGATTTGATGCAATTCAATCTCTATAGCTTAACTATTTCAAATATTAGTCTCTATATTTTAGAATATAAAATTATAAATTTCATACAACTCAAAGAATAAAATTTAAGATAATTAAATTTACAAGAATTGAGTCACACTGATGAGTCAAAGTTTAAGGGTTGAGTTACAGTGAAAACTATATGAACCAAATTATCAATTTTCTCAAAAAGAAAAAGACCTTGAAAAGCTGAGCGAATAAATCATAATCAAAGCAGAAAGAAGAAGATCACTCTGTAAGGAAAGCAAAATAATATTCGCCGAAGTCAATCATACTACCTCAGATTTTTAATATAAAAGTTAAATAATTAATTTGAAAATATTAAAAAAATTAGTTTAAGTTAGTTATTTGTCACAAATATGTGTTGGTCTTCCTAAACTATCATCTTCAATTATATTAGATGATTGAAATTATCTCTTAGCAGAAACCCCTTATAATCAATAAGGATATTTAAAAAAAAAAAAGAAACAAAGTGGGTTAAAGTCTTATATTATTTAAGACTAATTAAATTCAACATCTCAACTGGCTCTTATGCTATCTTGGACCCTTCATATAAAAGTTAAATAACTAATTTGTGGATAATTGTAATCAATAGACATTCTTTTCTCAAAAGTACTTCCATTAATCATGTGTCACTTGATAAAATCTCCTTAACATTTGCAATTGCTATAGAGATTATTTGGGGATAAAATGAATGAATATTAAGAATAAAGTAAATTGAAATCTTATATTTAAAATC